GATTAACCACGCTTCAGGGGATCCGTAAACTAAGGAATATTCGCCGCTTTCGACACGAGTGCGTTTACCACCCTCAAGTGAACTTATGTTACCTGCTTTTAGCCCTAGCTCCCTCAAATGGGACACTTGGTCGTTCATAAGGCTTTCCCCAATGGTGAGAAAACGACGACGATATGACCAGGCTCTTGTGAGGTAAGATCAAACACGAGTGGTCGTGCTTCATACAGGAGAGATTTCCCGAAACCAGTAGGAAGATTGACAAATACATCCTTTCTTTCCTCAACCATTTTCTTAATTCCAGTTTTTTGCTGCGCATTTAAACTAGGGATTCGAAATTACTAACAACATCAAACGCTTCTTCAAAGGACGCCATTTTCAAAGCTTTGAACTCGAAGATGAAACAAACAATATGATTGGTTAGACTACTTTGGCGCGTACAGTTCTCAACATATGTAACCCAAATAGTGATTGGTTGAAGTAGCGGAAAGGAATGTTGTTCGAATGTGAGCAGCCGTTTGTGGGGAGAAGCGTTGCGTGACGAGACTAAAAACGGCTGCGAAGGAGACTACATGTAAGAGTGGATTAGCCCCAATTTGTCGGAGACTTTGTTATTTGTGAGTGACACATATCAGATGAAGAGTGTTAACATTATGTCAAGAGCTAGAGGCACCGCCTGTAGTGATTTAAGACATTGATCGGTTTACATTGTCAACGCAACCTTGAATGACCTTTTCAAATCAGTAGTCAGCAACCAATCACAATGTAGAGAATATCATATAAGGGAGTGATTTCTTACAATTTTCCAGAGTAGCTTTTTACACACCCATTGTAAGAAAGCGAATACGAGAGGGGAATGAAACAGTTTGATTGAGTTTAGTTCGCTAGAAGTTTATCCCTAGTAAACGGGGCAACGTTTACGAAAATTTTGGAGACAACTAAAATCTGTTTGGTAACGTATTTGTGGTGGAGGACACACTCTTCGCCAAAAATTATTACACATCTGTAAATCTTATTGTTTCGCCTCTTTAGAAATGCACATATCCGATTAGAGTTCATTTACAAACATCTTTCGTGAGTAAAAAATATCTGTTTGAATTCTGCACGTGATGATTTGAGAAGGGCTGGAAAAATAAAAAATTGAAATTTTACGCGAATCTCCAATGTTAAGCTTACAGCCAAAAATTATTGCACATCAGTTACATTATTGCACATCAGTTATTGCACAGAATTACGGAAATAATTACTGTTTCATGGCCCGTAGGAAAATTTTTATCCTTTTCAGATGCAATGTGTTTATTGTTTGAGTCGTTCAACGAATCAAGAGCAATTTTTGTGTGGAATAATCAACAAGTTTTTACAATAAATAAGATCGATATCTGCATGTTGACATGATGACCTCTTTAAAGTTTAGGTTAGTCGTTATCTCGAACTTTTTAAATAAACTGTCATCCAAAACCACTTAGGATCTGTGCCCTGCCGGATATAAGACTGTATCAACTCCACAATCACAAAAGTTCGATTAAAATGCCTAATCACAAGATAAAATACAAATAAAAGCAAACCCGAAAGATGATGTGCCTAGGAGAATGATGTGTGTTATGCACACATTTTGCTACAAAAATAATGTCTGACGCCAACTGAAACCAATAAGAAACCTCCCGCGCAGGGGGCTTAGAGCAGACTAGATAAGAGAAGACAGACCACCGCGCTTTGCTTGTGAAAATAAATATTGGTGGATCAATTTTATCCTAGGCAGAAAAATTGAGCCATATAATTAATATTTATGATTAATTGTGCATGCCACGATCGAGATCACAGCTAGCAGAATTTTTATCCCTTAGCCCCTAGGAGTAAGAGTGACTAGTATCTTATTTCTCCCAAAAATACCACCCCTGATTCACACATTAAGGTCATGAGAATAACATAAATGATCACAAACTAAAGAAGCTCTTGATTGTTGAACAAATTCTCCGTGTCAGTGCCTTTGGAAATCTATAGAGAACAGTGTGGAGAATATGCATACCGATGTTAGGGTTTAAAGGGCTGTGTACAGCAGCGATTAGTTCAATTGTTGAATCAAATCATTCAGAACAAATAGAAATTGTGATTGATGTCCGGCAGCTTGATGTACGCCATGTTTGATATTCATTTAGATGCTATATTGGCCCAAGAATTTGCATCAGAGAGAACGTAAACTAACCAATAAAATAACAGGCGCTTAAGACGCTATTTTTCATTGATATTTAAGTTTTTGGTCACGTTTTATTAAATCGTTGCTTCTGGAAAGATTTAAAAGATTATTAAGTTTATTTAACGAATATAGAAGATTGTGGAGCTCATATGGAGAACATTACATTGGGTATCTTCCGGAATGAGACGTCAAGAATTATTACATATTCCACCACTATAACCAAATCCTTGGTTTGCGGCAATAGAGATAATTTGGGAAAATAAAATATCAAGTGTATGTAATACTTGGATATCAACCAAAGATAGACAAAAGTTATGGGACGATGGATTGATTATTTTAATGGCTTTGGGAGAAATTCTGAGATATAATGCAAAACAAATGAGAACAGTAATGTTGGAAGTAAGTTATTTGGGTCACCATAGTTTAAACAATTGAAACGTGATGAGACCACAATCCGAAAAAATAATCCAATTCGCCCATGTGTCACGTTTTTGTAATTAAAAAAGTTGTGTTTACGACCACCGTCAAATAAGAGATAAATTAGTGGTCTTGAAGATTAGTATAAAATATAAAACGTATCGCCCTTTTCGATCTGCGAGGCTCTTGCATCAAAAACTGACTATTTAAAAAAAACGAAAGATGAAGATGCGTTGCTGTGTGCGATTAATTCTGTGAGTTGCCGCGCTTCCTTTAGACATAATTTTCTCGTTTATCAAAGCCACTTAAACTGTCAAATAAACAAGAGTTTTCCCGTTAGGCCAGTGACTTATGATCGAAAATCTGCTAAATGGTTACACCCAGAGCTATTTAAGAATTTAAAGGGCGCAACAGGAAATTCCGTTTCATGTTGTTGAGCTCAAAAACGACTGCCATGCTTTCGTATCGGTAGTTTTACTGCGAGCTGAAACCATTGTAATAACCGATTTCTTTGGAGGAATCGCCTGGCGTTCTGCTCATTCAACCGCTGATTAGGTAAACAGCGGTCTAATTTGGTTTGTAATTTGGTTTTAATTAGATTTTGTCATTTACTTGGTGTTAATTTTGTTTATAGAGAAACTTACTCTCAGTGGATGCTTAATTTTGAGGAAATCTCGAAGTGTTGTTTGAGGCATTTTTGGGAGAATCGCTCACTTAAATTTACCCGCGGGTGAAATTTGAAATTAGCAGGGTGTTGAGTACACTTAGGTTGACCTTCCCATGCAGCTCAAATTCATTATCTTCTTTCAGTTAAGACCAATCAATGCATTTGTACGAGTAAAGTCGAAATTCTCATGTGAAAAACAACTTTACTTTACGAAAGGAATGATAAGACGCCAGCATGAAATTCCATTGCGTAGGCGTCAACTTGAACAACGCATCTCTTGTGTTACAGGGGCAATAAAGTTCAAGGAGGAACTCACACTTTTCGACACTCAGCACACCACAAAGGACAAATCAGTTTTCGAATGATGGCCGCTGCATTCTTTCTTGGTCTTATCCTCGCTTTGTTTCAACCGATTGTATTTGCCAGAGTGCCTTCTCCTTTTCTACACAACAATGCACAAGGTAAGTTTGTCATTTTGACGGTGCACTTTCTTTAAACGCAGGTTCAAAAAATCTCGAGGCCCTACCAGTTAAGAATGTTTATTCGAGTTCGTTTGACGGTCTTGTTACTTCCTGTCCTCTTACAGTTCTGAATAACAGCTGGTAAGTAATCCCTGGCGGTAAACGGCTCAAGAAATACATCTCTATTGTAGCGATTTTCCCCCATTCTGTACAGCTTAAAGTCTCTGCTTTCCTTTCGACCATCATAATTTTATTCGCTACTCTAGTAACAACTACGTCGCGTAACCTATGTTTTGCTTCTTTCTAAAGCCCACAAGCTAATATAGATTAATTTCAAATTGCAGCAGACTCATAAGAGGTCGGCAAAAAAAAAAAGTTGTTGGGTATTTCACTGAAATGACTTGAATACTGTCTTAACTAACCACTGACGAACGAAATTTCAGTCAAAACTGTCTTTAAAGTTAAGTTGATACTTTTACCAAGGTTGTTATGCAGTAAACGAACACAACTTTATCAAGGAACTCACTGAACGGCAATGACTCGAGATTGAAACAGATTTCATGCCGTAAGTGGACGCCAATTTACTTAGAAATCGACTTTCCCTCTTCAGTTGTGTACAAGTGGTTTAGTTATTGGCAAAAGAGGGCTCAAATTTGGTAGAAATACCTAGAGACATCCTCCCTCGCCATCGCGCATAAAACCGGGATAATGAAATTCTGACTTGATGACACAATAGATGACACAGCCTCTTTAAAAATGTACATGATAACAAGGGTGTGGTTGGGAAATATGCCGGATAGGTATGTTATCATAATTTGAAATCTCTTTTGAAACTCTTGTCAGCCTTTTCTTCGGTGTCGTTGAATCATAACATATATCATATTTCCG